ACGCCATTGCGCTCATTTGTGTCATGTCCTCCGTTAGATCCAAGTACTCAAGTCTTTTCTTAGGGTCTCTTCCAAAGTTTTCCTAGGTCTTCCTCTACTCCTTCGGCCCCGAACCTCTGTCCCGTAGTCACATTTTCGAACCGGAGCATCAGTAGGCCTTCTTTGCACATGTCCAAACCACCGGAACCGATTTTCTCTCATATTTCCTTCAATTTTGGCTACTCCTACTTTACCTCGGATATCCTAATTCCCAATCTTATCATTTCTCGTGTGCCCATACATCCCACGAAGCATCCTCATCTCCGCTACACCCATTTTGTGTACGTTGATGCTTCACCGCCCAACATTCTGTGCCATACAACATCGCTGGCCTTATTGCCGTCCTATAAAATTTTCCCTTGAGCCTCAGTGGCCTACGACGGTCACACAACACGCCGGATGCACTCTTACACTTCATCCATCCAGCTTGTATTCTATGGTTGAGATCTCCATCTAATTCTCCGTTCTCTTGCAAGATAGATCCTAGGTAGCGAAAACGGTCACTTTTTGTGATCTTCGCTAGATTGCTCCGGTCATTAGTGTGGATAAGTATATAAATGGATAGAGATAGGAAAGCAAACACAAGATGTACGTGGTTCACCCAGATTGGCTACGTCCACGGAATAGAGGAGTTCTCATTAATTGTGAAGGGTTTACACAAGTACATAGGTTCAAGCTCTCCTTTAGTGAGTACAAGTGAATGATTTAGTACAAATGACATTAGGAAATATTGTGGGAGAATGATCTCGTAGCCACGAAACTTCTAAGTACCGGAGTGTGGTATCGTCTTGACTTGCCTTATCTGTCTCATAGGTAGATGTGGCATCTTCTCTGGAAGTACTCTTCCTCCATCCAGGGGTGGTATCTGTAACTGGTGGAGATGCACAAGGTAATGTATCAATTTCACTTGAAGCTTACTTGTAGTTTCATGCTTGGTCAAGCGAGATACAAACCATGTAGTAGGAGTCCCCCAAGTCGCCGAGCTGGGGGATCTGCTGAAAGAGGTGACAGACAAGGTAAGCAATCAGAGCTCCGGCTGATTGTTCACATTCTCCCTATCTTGCAGGCAGCATGAAGGATAAAGAGAAGAAAAATGAGGAGAGATGATATGGGATACTTTTGCTTTTGAAGAAGTAACTTTCCACAGGCTTATTCTTGAACTGGGCTGGAGGGTTTTCTGGTTTCCTCCAGAGTATAAGGCTGACTGAAGAATTTGAGGGTCAAAACAAGTCCATCAAATCTAGAGTACGTTCGACCCTGCTGATATGGGATACTTTTGCTTTTGATAGAGTAGTGGATGTATCGGCACGTGTGCTGTTACGCTTGTCTCCACATGCTTCCTTGTATCCTTCTCACTTGCCCTATCTGTTCCTCAGGCAGATGCGGTATCTTCCCTGGAAGCATAAGATGTTGAAGATGAGTACTCGAGAGCAATGCCAGGTAAGTAATCAGGTAAGGGGTTCCAGGCAGTCAGTTCCCGGCTGGAAGCTTGATTCCAAGTGTTGACTGATTGCTCTCTTTCTCCTTGTCTTGCAGGTAAGAACAAGGCCAAAGGAAAAGACAGGGAAAAAGCATGATATGGGATACTCTTGCTTTTAACCCTGATGATCTGAGATATTCTTGCTCTAGTATAGCTTGTTTACAGAGGTATTATCGGGGGGAAAGAAAGCTGAATATTTCGAAAGGCTTTGTTGGGAGTGCCCTCTCAGATAAGAGAAAGGGTTGAGCATTTTTGCAGGTCTGCCTGTCCGTTAGGGATGGAAGTCGACATATATAGGAGTCTCCCTAACATCAAGTAATAATGTTATTCCTTTACCCTGCTTGGTTATAGCACGGTAGTGGGAGCTGCCAGCTTCACATGTTTTAACTCTGTCAGAGCACTTTGAAAAAAGTGGTTTGTGGTATCTGGAAAGCTGATGTTGCGTGTGAAGATTACAGACCTGTCGGGGGTCTGGCTCTCGAGATTCGGAGAACGATGCCTCTTCGATTTTTGAGAAAGCAATCCTGCTGGGGGTCTGGCTCTCGAGATTCGGAGAGCGGTGTCTCTTCGATTTTTGAGAAAGTAATCATGTTGGGAGTCTGGCTCTCGAGATTCGGAGGGCCGTGCCTCTTCGATTTTGGAGCAAGCAATCTTGTTGGGAGTGTTTTCTCGAATGTGAGTAAAGGTTGGGCATGTTTGCTAGTCTACCTTGCCACGAAGCACAGAGGTTGACACACAGGGACTTTCCAATTATCCAGCAGTGGTACTGTTCCTTTACCCTCTCTTCGATTTTGAGAAAGTAATCATGTTGGGAGTCTGGCTCTCGAGATTCGGAGGGCGATGCCTCTTCGATTTTGGAGCAAGCAATCTTGTTGGGAGTGTTTTCTTGAATGTGAGTAAAGGTTGGGCATGTTTGCTAGTCTACCTTGCCACGAAGCACAAAGGTTAACACACACAGGGACTTTCCAATTATCCAGCAGTGGTACTGTTCCTTTACCCTCTCTTCGATTTTTTGAGAAAGTAACCATGTTGGGAGTCTGGCTCTCGAGATTCGGAGGGCGGTGCCTCTTCGATTTTGGAGCAAGCAATCTTGTTAGGAGTGTTTTCTCGAATGTGAGTAAAGGTTGGGCATGTTTGCTAGTCTACCCTTGCCACGAAGCACAGAGGTTGACACACCGGGACTTTCCAATTATCCAGCAGTGGTACTGTTCCTTTACCCTTGTGGGTAATAATATGGTAGCTAGACCTTCAAAATTTATGTGTCTAAACTTTGTTAGTGTTGTTTCTTTGCAATTCTTTTACCCTTCTTGGTCAGAGCGATGTAGTGGGAGCTGCAAGCTTCACGTGTCTCAACTTTGTCAGAGAACTTTGGCAAAGTTATCTGTGGTACCCATGAGCTACTGTTGCGCGTGGGAAGTGGGTGATTGAACAGTACGATTCATGTGCTTTCTACTTCGCCAGAAATCTTCGACAGAATGCCCATAATTTCCGCAAAACTGAGTGTGCGTGTGACAGGTGCTGACAAGGCTGGAAAAGTAGGTGCCTCTTCGATTTCTGAAATCGGCCCTCGTGGTCTCTGAGCAGCCCAGCTTTTGAGAAAGCAAGCCTCTTCGATTTCTGAGATCGGCCTTTGTGGTCTTTGAGCAGCCCAGCTTTTGAGAAAGCAAACACCTCTTCGATTTCTGAGATCGACCCTCGTGGTCTCTGAGCAGCCCAGCTTTTGAGAAAGCAAACGCCTCTTCGATTTCTGAGCAGGTGCCTCTTCGATTTCTGAAGCTTCGTCGAGTGCAGATTTTTATAGGGGCTGACATTAAGTTCCAAAGCACACTTGAATATCCACCAGTAGAAGCTCCATTCTTGCACTTCTAAGATCTTGATTTGTCCGACCTCTTCTCTCTTCAACACCTTTGAAAATGTCTGGCCCCTCCGACCGTCGTTTTGACTTGAACCTTGTTGAAGAGGCAGCCCCGCCTTCTCCAGACAACATATGGCGCCCATCCTTCGTCTCCCCTACTGGTCCTCTTACCGTTGGGGATTCCATGATGAAGAATGATATGACCGCTGCGGTAGTGGCCAGGAACCTTCTCATTCCCAAAGATAACAGACTACTTTCCAAACGGTCTGATGAGTTGTCTGTTAAGGATTCTCTGGCTCTCAGTGTTCAGTGTGCAGGTTCTGTGTCTAATATGGCCCAACGCCTATTTACTCGAACCCGCCAAGTTGAATCATTGGCGGCTGAAGTGATGAGTCTCAAACAGGAGATTAGAGGGCTCAAGCATGAGAATAAACAGTTGCACCGGCTCGCACATGACTATGCTACAAACATGAAGAGGAAGCTTGACCAGATGAAGGAATCTGATGGTCAGGTTTTACTTGATCATCAGAGATTTGTGGGTTTGTTCCAAAGGCATTTATTGCCTTCGTCTTCTGGGGCTGTACCGCGTAATGAAGCTCCAAATGATCAATCTCTGATGCCTCCTCCTTCTAGGGTTTTGTCCAGTACTGAGGCTCCGAATGATCCCCCTCCGGTGCCTTCTCTTTCTGGGGCTCTACCGACTGCTGAGACTTCTCATAAGCAACATTTGTGAAGGCTCCCTCTTGTTTGTTTATTTTGACTCAAGTATATGTACATATTTGTAACTTATCGGGGATATCAATAAATAAGCTTTCCTTCATTTCAACGTATTGTGTTAAATACACCAAAGCCTTCTTCGCTAAGTTCTTTGAATTTTCTTTTGTTGAAGCTTGTATGTTGAAGCTTTGTGAGTGGAGCATATAGGTTGAGGTAGTGTTCCCTTAATTTCCCGAGTGAGGAAAACTTCTCGGTTGGAGACTTGGAAAATCCAAGTCACTGAGTAGGATCGGCTATATGAATCTTAGAACGCCATTGTGTTATGTCCTGTGTCATGTCCTCCGTTAGATCCAAGTACTCTAAGTCTTTTCTTAGGGTCTCTTCCAAAGTTTTCCTAGGTTTCCTCTGCCCCTTCGGCCCTGAACCTCTGTCAAATGAACATTAAAACATTCAGTCACAGCTTACGAGACAAAGAAATTTACCACGTACAAGCAATGAAGTCCAGACACCTATGAACCGTCATGCTCATCCAAAAATCAGCTGAACTACCAAGTTTCTTTTTATGAAGTATAAAAAGACATACTCCTACTAAGCTTTCCTAATCCAAAAGCACTTGTTCCTACGGGTTACATCCAAACTCTACGATCACCCACAATGTTGAGATGCACTCAAACTATGCTGATCTAAAAGTCCTTTCAAGTTCCTGCAATGGAATAGCAGAGGTGCACAACTGTGTAAGAATTCAAACATATGCAAACACTTATTTGGTTATTCCCCAACTTCATGTTGAGAATATCGCGTTTAAGAATGAGAAAAACAAGAACAAACTCCGGAAATCGAAAAACAAATAACCAAGATAAATAACATCAAGAATTTACGTGGTTCGGCAATATGTGACTACGTCCACAAGACAGCAACAATAATCTTTCACTATATCAATAATGAGTACAACCAATAATCTTGCCAAATCTCTAGAACTAGGACTTGACGAAAAACCTGAAATAACAAGGACAAGAAATACACTATCTCTTTTCTTTTCTCTCGCACACACTTTGCCCTTACAACATTTTCTCACTCCAATCCCTTGAGTGGTATACAAAATATTGTTTTGCTCCCTCCAATTCAAAACTAGTACAATAGTCCCTCTATATATACATAATAAAGGTCTTCTTCAATAAGGATTATTAATCCTAATTGGAATTTAGTTATGAATCCTTCTCCTATTGAGAAACTAACTCCAATTGGGAAAACAACTCCAATTGGGAAAACAATTTAATCCTTTAAGACTATAATTCCTTATAGACGTAGGACAACTTATCATGGGCTGGAAAAAAACCCAACACTTCATGCTGAAAATTTAAAAAGAATAACATTCTTAAAAAATTTATATTCATCCACTGGACGTTCACCATGTGAGAATGATATTCTTCCAAAATAAAACTTCAACAAAAAAACAGAGAACAAAATGTCAAAATCATTTGTGCAGTAAAGCATTTATGTCTCAGTATAAGATTAAAAAGTTGCATGCAACAGACTGAAAATAAAAGCATACAAGCTCATATAAACTCTTACATTTTCTTTATTTCAACGTAAAACATTCTTGCTTAATTATTGAGTTCGTAAGAATGACGAAGAAATCATACACCATTGCTAGTCAAGTATTTGGTAATAAATAAATAAGTGAAACCAGCAACCAAGGTTGAAGGTGTGAACTATAAAATCCAACGGTCACAATAAGCATGTCTTCTCTAAGAATGCATCAGAAATATATACCGTGAAACATAAAAAATAAAAAAGTAGGAGCTGGTGTCCCAACTGATAATCAAGAGAAGAAAAGGCAAATACATGCTCCAATCAACAAGGCATTCCCACTCCTCGCTTCAGACTAGCAATCAAATTATGTACAGGAACATTTGCAAAATTGGCAACTCTAGTGTTTCCTACTTAATATGGAAACAATTGGTCAAAGCAGTTATTTAGAATAGCCTGAAAAGGAAAAAGAAAAAGAAAAAGGAATATAAAACGTGCTACCGAAGTGCATTATTTTGACCAAACGGCATTCGTTTTACTCAAATTCACGATTGAAAAGTTAAATATCTATAATGTCCAAAAAAGGGAATGAAAGAGGACCTACAACAATTGATCATTCTCCTGCCTTTAGATGATTTGAAGTCCTTGCGCATCACCCATCTTTTCCATTCCTCCCTATCAATCCCAATCGCAATTTGTTCTCATTAATCAATCTTAACATACTTACAAATCCTACCTAGTTTATGAATCATTCTATCATTCAACCGCACTCTGTCTAGATGTAAATGAGGCAAAAATATTTATTCTACTCTCAGGCTCTCCTGGAGACTCAGCTGAAGGATTCAAAAGAAAATGCAAAAAATAAATAACATTTCTTTCAATTAGTCATGTGTCCTAGAAACAGCAAGACTCACAAAGCGACTACTAGCGATCCTGACAAGTGCGGCAGAAGGTACCGTGTGACAACTCGCAACACCCCCGCGCATTGGCAGCCAGGTGAGATGTGAGGCAGGTTGCAGCCGTCACGTTGTGCATTGGCAGAAGCGATTGTATGCATCCCAGCTCTCCCATGTTCCTAAAAAAAAAAAAAAAAAAAAAAAAGCCACTAAAATCAGAAGATTATTTGTTATACCTATACCATAAATAAGTATGAAAGGACCTACGACACATTTTTGCTCTGAAAAATCTAAGAAACTGCTATTTTCTTCTCCGGAACCTAAGAAACCACTACTTGATATTGGAGAAAGTAAATGTAACCACAGAATTCATGATCCAGGTGATTGTTAAAAGTGACGAATCAAAAGACAAGATTTTGACTTTAAATTTCATTTCTTTTACTAATTTTGAACCAAAAATGCACTTGTTTTTGCCATAATGTAGATCAAAAAGCGCTAAAATCACTACCAAAACTAAATCAGTACAATTGTCAGTAACATCCTCCAATGTCCTCCAACCAAATTACCCAAAACACAGTCATCACCCAACATCTCCCTAAACCTCTACCCTTCTTCCTTCCACCAAAAACTTGTGCCATTCACAAAATAAGGGTGCACAGGTAGCTGGAACAGCATCACCAGTAATAGCTAAAAGAAATCGTCAACAAGGCAGTACAAAATACTTGAACCATTCTTCTGCCTAACAGAAATCTTCTGCCGCTGTATATTTGTCACCACCTTACTCCTCATCTTCAACCATTCTTCTACCTATTGATCTTCTGCAAAAGATTTGTGTTGGGTATTTGACGTGTGACTTTGATTTTTCATACTGGGTTGGAGAAAACGGGCAGTAAGTTAACATGGTGGTTGAGCATGGCAGAATTGGATTCGAGGAAGATGGGATTAAAGACAATGATGGCTGAGAAGCTATAAGAATGAGGAGACAAGGTTAGAACATAAGCCGGATTTAAAATCCTACAGGGTGAGGTGGGATTCTTTTTGGTCTCGGTTATATACTTCTTGCTTTCACAACAACAACAACAACAACAAAGCCTTTTCCCACTAAGTGGGGTTGGCTATATGAATCTTAGAACGCCATTGTGCTCGGTTCCATGTCATGTCCTCCGTTAGATCCAAGTACTCTAAGTCTTTTCTTAGAGTCTCTTCCAAAGTTTTCCTAGATCTTCCTCTACCCCTTCAGCCCTGGACCTCTGTCCCGTAGTCGCATCTTCTAACCGGTGCATTAGTAGGCCTTCTTTGCACATGTCCAAACCGCCGTAACCGATTTTCTCTCATCTTTCCTTCAATTTCAGCTACTCCTACTTTACCTCGGATATCCTCATTCCTAATCTTATCATTTCTCGTGTACCCACACATCTAACGAAACATCCTCATCTCCGCTACACCCATTTTATGTACGTGTTGATGCTTCACCGCCCAACATTTCGTGCCCTACAGCATCACCGGCCTTTTGCCGTCCTATAAAATTTTCCCTTGAACTTCAGTGGCATACAGTGGTCACACAATACGCTGGATACACTCTTCTACTTCATCCATCTAGCTTGTATTCCATGGTTGAGGTCTCCATCTAATTCTCCGTTCTTTTGCAAGATAGATCCTAGGTAGCGAAAGTCGTCGCTCTTTGATACTTCCTGATCTCCGATCCTCACCCCTAACTCATTTGGGACTCCATTTGCACTGAACTTGCACTCCATATATTCTGTCTTCGATCAGCTTAGGCGAAGACCTTTAGATTCCAACACTTCTCTCCAAAGGTTAAGCTTCGCATTTATCCCTTCCTGAGTTTCATCTATCAACACTATATCGTTTGTGAAAGCCATACACCAAAGAATATCATCTTGAATATGTCCCGTTAACTCATCCATTACCAATGCAAAAAGGTAAGGACTTAAGGATGAGCCTTGATGTAACCCTACAGTTATGGGGAAGCTTTCAATTTGTCCTTCATGAGTTCTTACGGCAGTCTTTGCTCCATCATACATATCCTTTATAGCTTGGATGTATGCTACTCGTACCTCTTTCTTCTCTAAAATCCTCCAAAGAATATCTCTTGGGACCCTATCATACGCTTTTTGCAAATCTATAAAGAACATGTGTAAATACTTTTTTTTAATCTCTATATCTTTCCATCAATCTTCGTAAGAGATAGATTGCCTCCATGGTTGAGCGCCCTGACATGAACCTGAATTGGTTGTCCGAAACCCGTGTCTCTTGCCTCAATCTATGCTCAATGACTCTCTCCCAGAGCTTCATTGTATGACTCATAAGCTTAATATCCCTATAGTTCATGCAATTTTGTATGTCACCCTTATTCTTGTAGATAGGCACCAGAGTGCTCTTTCACCACTCATTTGGCATCTTCTTCGTTTTCAAAATCCTATTGAAAAGGTCTATGAGCCATGCTATACCCGTCTCTCCCAAGACTTTCCACACTTCGATCGGTATATCATCTGGGCCCACTGCTTTTCTATGCTTCATCTTTTTCAAAGCTACAACCACTTCTTCCTTCCTGATTCGGCGGTAAAATGAATAGTTTATACACTCTTCTGAGTTACTCAACTCCCCAAAGAAGTACTCCTTTCATGTCCTTCATTGAAAAGATTATGAAAATAACTTTTCCATCTGTCTTTGACTGCATTCACTATAGCAAGAACCTTTCCAATCTCATCCTTGATGCACCTCACTTGGTTTAGGTCCCTTGTCTTCTTTCTCTTGCTCTAGCTAGTTTATAGATATCCAACTCTCCTTCGTTGGTATCTAATCACTTATACATATCGTCATAAGCCGCTAGCTTAGCTTCTCTCACAGCTTTCTTCGCCTCTTGGTTCGTTATTTTATACCTTTCACCATTTTCATCGGTCATATCCTTACATAATGCTTTACAACATTCCTTCTTAGCCTTCACCTTTGTTTGTACCTCCTCATTCCACCACCAAGATTCCTTTTGGTGTGGAGCAAAGCCCTTGAACTCTCCTAATACCTCTTTTGCTACTGTTCGGATACAACTAGCCATGGAATCCCACCTCTGGCTAGCTTCCCCTTCTTTATCCCACATGCATTGGGTGATTACTTTCTCTTTGAAAAAGTTTTTCTCCCTTTAGATTCCACCATCTATTCCTTGGGCACTTCCAAGTCTTGTTCTTTTTACTCTCTCTTTTGATATGTACATCCATCACCAACAAGTGATGTTGATTAGCCAAACTCTCTCCTAATACTTCTTGCTCTCAAATCCCACAAAATCCACAATTTAATAAAATACTGTCAAATCCTTGAATTTTTTAACAAACATAGATTTATAATCACTCTAAAATCATCCATTAAAATCTCAATTGACTATCCATGGATTTGGATATATTCTTTAAAATCCTCTTAAATCTTAATTTGACTAACCATGATTTCAAAGTCTTTTAAACTTTCTTTTAAAAAACTAATTGACTAGCCACACAGTACTAAGGTTTAGTAAAATTCTTCTTCGCTAAGGTCTTAGGTTCGAATTTCGTAGATGACGAATTCAATACCAAATTAGGTTGTTCATTATGTGGTTTAGCCGAACCCCCCTTTCCTTAGTGTAAAATATATCGTTGTACTAAAAAAATATATATATAATTGACTACACTCTGATCTTAAAGTCTATTGAAATTCTATCAAATCCCAATTTGACTACACCCCATAAATTTGTGAATTACAAATCAACAAATCAGCAGATACCATAAGAAAATAACAATTCACTGATTCAAATCCAATTTTCTCCAATTTCCAGAAACCAATCAGCACTTAACGCAAAGGTGAATATTTTTTTTTTTCAAGAAATATACAAAGACGAGAAATTGAAAGGGGAACCTGGGAGAAGCGAAGAGGCGACGAGGAGTAGAGAGAGACGGCGGGCGGAGGCGACGGAGAGGGGGCGCCAAGCGAAGCGACGAAACCCTAGCGGTGGACACCAATGACCGAGAAAGCGAACCAGCTGAGCGCCAAGCCATTTTCCGAGTTACTGTTTGCCCACAGTGGAGGGGGAGGGCTTTGTGAGGGTTTTGCTTTGTGAGAAATGGTATGGCGCTGGTGCACGACAGCTGATGTGTGTCAACCACTTTTACCGTTGGATTCTTAGCGATTAATCGTGTACCGTTAGATTGTTTTAAATAAAAATTTTAGTCCCAAGAGTTAATTGTTGTGAAGTTTTTTAACCTTACGAGTCTCATAATTTTTTAAAATGTGTCAATTTAATTCAATCTTTAAATTAATCAACGCTGTCAGTTTTTCATACTTTAAATTTGATAGATATATTTAACGGTCAAAGGCCTACATGGCAGGTTATAAAAGATTGAGGGTCAAAACCAAATAAAAAATTTAGGGACACCAATTAATCGAATATATATTGGAGTCACATGAAATTATTTTAGGAATTCATACTTATTGATATACATAGCTTTAGCTAAAATTAATGACAGATGGTTAGGCTCTACCCTATAGCTGGTTTTCGTTCGTTTGACTGGTTTCCTGGCCAAGACCGGCTATTGTATGTCAATGCCCTATTTTGCTGGTACAATTGCAGGGTTTGTTACTTTTATGTTGTTTCTGTAAGTTGTAGATCAGTCATATGATCATTACTCAATGGCATTAACATTAGTGTCACGCCCTGGATCCAATGTCGGCAAAAAATAACTCCGCGCCTAGCATGCGAGTATAAGGAAAAATAAAACAAAAAAACAAACTTCTCATACAAAAATAACTTCAAAATGTTTACAGGGTGTACACAAATAAATAAAAATTCTTAAATCACTCATTTAACACAACCTCAACTTGTCAACCCTTCTTTAGTCTTCTAACAAACCTGAAAAGTCTAAAATGTAAAAGGTGAGCAAAACCACTGCTTAGTAGGGATATAAGTCTTATCAAGGATAATTGTCAAGGCTAAACCAAGTGTCATGCTCACATAAATCAATTATATCATGCTACCAAACATAAATTATATTCCATGAATGCAACTTAACTTCAATTGTCAGACCTGTTAATTCATATAATAAAACAAGCGGACTTGCATGTCACATACCATGCATTTAACCACTACAGTGGTGGTCCGTAAGTTCTATTATATAAGCTAACACCCGTAACTCTGTTTCCCCTCTTGTTGGTCATCTTGTTCTTCTTTGAAAAGAGTATTTGTTTAGGGCTCATAGGGGTAGCAAAAGCTTACTGAAATTTAGTAGAGATGGAGGTATATATATGAGGAGAGGGCCGGCCATTGTGTTGGGGTTTTACCCTACACGTGGCGGCATCCTTCAATCTCTGGATTGAGTGATGATAATTCTGAACGTGAACAGGGCTAGACAGATTAACCCTTTGGGCTTGTTTGGGCCATAAGTTATTGAAGATGTCGTATTTTGGAGAAAATTCCTTCTACAACATTGAAGAGGACTTCTTAATCTTTCTAATGATCTCTTTGGGCTTTTTCTATGCTGATTTGGTTAGTCAATAGAAAGAATCTTCACATATTTGATTTTCTATCAATTTAGGTTTACCTTTAAGATATCTTATTGAATTATGAGCTCGTTTGGATGTGCTTTTAAAATGACTAAAAACGTTTTTGGTAAAAATATTTTAAAAATCAATCCTTAATAAAAATGCAAGTAAATCCTGAAAAAAAAAAAAAAAAAACACTTACTTCCTAGAAGAAGCACATAATTGGTGCTTCTTGCAGAAAGCACTTTAAGTGCTTTTGGAACCAAAAACATTTTCTCTAAAAGCGCTTTCAGTCATTTTAAAAGCACATCTAAATGAGACTTGTTGCATACTTAAATGAACACACATTATATCCTTATTTCACATGTTTTCATTGTGTTCCAATATTTCATAATATATATGCATTTTATTTTGTAGTTTATGATGAAATTATATATATTTTAAGTATAAGCAGACACTTATTTACACGAAATATGATAGTTTTACTTAAATCCACCTAGTCCGCCTAAGCGCTAGACCCAGCCCGCCGTCCGACTAACGCCTAGCGTCTTTTAGAACCTTGCATATAGATTGCATGTTAAATATATGTTTTAGCTTAAATGTCACAAGTAGAATATGCATAAGGAAAATCTAATCCTTGAAGTTTGCTTGTGTTAACTCATAAGTAATTGATAGACATAGAATTATTATAGGTGATGGCTACACCCTAGTGCTTCTTTCTTTTAATCCGATTGCTCTTTTTATTGTTATTGCCCTTGCTTTTAATACGTTTAACTTTTTTGCACTTTTTATTTCAATTCAAAATTCCAACTTTCTTAAACTTGTATTAAATAACAAATAGTTATCTAAGAATTGTATTTAAGCATAAATTATTCATATCAATTCATGTGGAGATCAACCTCACTTGAGCCGTTCATACTACAATAATCATGTTCTCTTGGAAGTAGTATGTGATTTATCCCTGATTTTGCATATAGTAAAAATCCTATTAATAATGAAGACGGTAATTATGGTGCTTAAAATTTCAATTTTCTTATTTCCCAGAAACAGAAAGAGCTAAGAATTCAATGACAACTCAAGAAAAGAATGGAAGGAAAAAAAAAAAAAAAAACCACCCTTAGAGAATTCTTTGAAGTGTTAGTAATGAAAATACAAGTAAAACACCTTGGATTATTCTCTCATTTGCTAAACTAAATTCAGCTTCAAAAAGTGCCCACAATAAATGGAACATGACACTGAATCACTGACACCAAAGAAGAAACTAAGGACTTCGTTTCCACTTTCATTCGGAATAAATCAATAGGATGAATTTAACCTCAAAACTCGACGATAATATGCTGCTCTCAGAGATATGCTGTCCTCAAACATTTTAACTGTCTGTTGAACGTATAGATCCTGCCAGATGATATGTTTGCTGTAACTGTACTTCCACTATAATGTAATATTTTAGTGGTGTTATGGTCCTTGGACCAAAGACCAACTTCGTGAAGGTCTCCTTCCTTCCAACATATGTTGACTGTCACCCCACCACGAGCCTTCAGTCCATTCACACAACCGTTTGCCCATTTATCCCGCGGAAGAGCGGGAAGCAAATATAGGTCCTTGACAGTGCTTTGGACAAGCATTTCTGCAACTGCTGCTGAAAAACTGGCACCAAAAGATAGAGAATTACCATCGCAGTCAAGCTACCGATCTTCATCACTCACGGAAGTGTTAGGTCTATTGGCGCATATGAACAGTTGGAATTGGGACATATGAAGTAGAAAACTTATCACGATACTGATTCAACAAAAAATTAACATATACAGCTTACCCAAAGTTGGCGTCAATCTGGAAAGGGGGATGTGCAGTGAACAAGTTACTGTATAGTCCTCCTTCAAAATCACTTTCGTGATCCAGATCCACCAAGTCAATCAAATGCTTGACCATTCGATATGCATGCTCACTATTGTGAAGACGTGCCCACAACGCAGTTTTCCATGTAGTCGACCATCCTGGACCCTCCTCTCCTGTTTTAAAGTATACAAATATGACAGTATTTAGTTACTAACCATGTCAACTTTAACTCCGCCTATGTCTTACATGGCCGGTCCCAAGCCCGGATAAAGGAGGAGGGGGAGGGCGTCAGGTAGTCGACAGCCGGCACTCCATGATCACGTCGAATCCTTATGAAAATGAATCCAGAACAAAATTGCGCTAAAGCTAGGGCGTCACCCGTAAGTGGCGCGCTGTGTGGCCCGAGCACAGTGATAAGTGAGCAAGGGTCGCTGTATCTCCATCGGCACCCGGATGCAGTGTTAAATGAGCAAGGGGGCCATAGAAACTTCTTTTCGAACGACTCCACTCAAAGTTGTTTGGGAGCATATGCTCCTATCAACTTTACCCGGGACACACAAAAGAAGTACTTTTGATCCTATTAGACGGGGGAGGGTGAAGAAGCTAGGACAGAAGGGTAGAGTTCAAGAGAGCAAAATGCGTTTAGGAACGTGGAATATAGGAACCTTAACGGGAAAATCTATGGAAGTAGTGGAAGTTATGGTGAGGAGAAGGATAAATATTATGTGCCTACAAGAAACTAAGTGGGTTGGTAGTAAGGCAAAGGATCTAGAAAACTCAGGGTTTAAACTTTGGTATTCGGGCACAAATAGAACGAGAAACGGTGTTGGCATCATCGTGGACAAGACCTTGGTACAAGATGTTGTAGATGTCAAGAGGGTAGGAGATAGAATCATGGCAATCAAGATTGTAATAGGACAAGAACTTATCAATGTGATTAGTGCGTACGCACCTCAAGTAGGGTTGGATACGAGTTCGAAGGAGAAATTTTGGGAAGATCTTGGAGACTTGGTGCAAGGAATTGCTCAGACGGAGAAGTTATTTATAGGAGGAGATTTAAATGGACACGTGGGCAGAGAGACAGGCAACTATGGAGGTTTTCATGGTGGCCATGGTTTTGGGGAGAGAAACGAGGATGGGGAAGCTATCTTGGATTTTGCAATGGCATATGATCTCTTCTTAGCCAACACCTTCTTTAAGAAGAGAGAAGAACATGTGATCACCTACAAGAGTGGGTCGTCAAAAACACAAATAGATTTTCTTCTAATGAGGAAAGGGGATCGTATAACTTGTAAGGATTGCAAAGTTATACCAGGAGAGAGCGTGGCTAATCAACATCGCTTGTTGGTGATGGATGTACATATCAAAAGAGTAAGACAAAAGAACAAGACTTGGAAGTGCCCAAGAACTAGATGGTGGAATCTAAAAGAAGAAAAAACAAGCCATTTTCAAAGAGAAGGTAATCACCCAATGTGTGTGGGATAGAGAGGGGGAAGCTAGCCAAATGTGGGATTCCATGGCTAGTTGTATCCGAAAAGTAGCAAAAGAGGTATTAGGAGAGTCCAAGGGCTTTGCCCCACACCAAAAGGAATCTTGGTGGTGGAATGAGGAGGTACAAACAAAGGTGAAGGCTAAGAAGGAATGTTGTAAAGCCTTATACAAGGAGAGGACCGATGAAAATGGTGAAAGGTATAGAAAAGCGAAGCAAGAGGCGAAGAAAGCTGTCAGAGAAGCTAAGTTAGCGGCTTA